CCTGGGCAGAAGCAGGGGGTTAGGGGGGCCTCAGCCCTCCCGCTGCCCCGCGCCTCCCGTGCGGAACACACCGGGCAGCAGCGCAGCCTATTTTCTTGGGTATTCAGGCATGGATTATTTATAGATCATCGACTCAAACGCGTGAAAACTGAACAGACCATCCAGCAAGACCGGCCCATGCTTCCAGGCAGGATCCATATTCTAGATGCCATCTAAACAGTTCCAGAAATAAAGATTAGGCTAAAACACATGGTGCAAACTCCTCTGCACCTTCTCAACCCATCCCCCAAGTATTCTGCAGGGACTCGTGTTATCCTCGTACAAACCCTCTTTTCACAAGGCAGCAATGACAGGACTCATTTACTTTGAGGGTTTTACTTTGGCCCTCCTGGCTTCTATCATAACCTCAAATATTACATTAAAAAAGCTTTTAAAACATAACATTCACAGCCGCACTGGAGCTTTTCACTGCAGCTAGCTTCTTGCCTGCCTGTTTGCGTGTGGCACCTTCACATTAAGTGCATGAGTTAAGATGTAGCTTAGCAAGGCAAGAAACCTTTGCCCTTGGCATCGACACTCAGCTGTGACAGGAAACTTCAGGCTTTTTTTCTATGAAGTGTAGAACCACTCATTACACATTGGCAGGGAAGTGCACATCTCCAAACTATACACATTTTCTCTTAGATAAGCAAAAGACTCAAGTGTTTATAAATATGAAAAGTTCAGCAGCTGGCTAAAAAGTTAATTCTCCAGTCTCACTTAATGAGCTTCGGGGAAAGTGGTAGGGGGATTTGTTCAGAAAGTAAAGCAGAGTGTCACAGAAAGCAGGACTCGCCAGACGGGGCTCAGTTTACTCCTCTTTTCTCTCTCTAGATGGCTGCTATCAGCAAAATGGCACGGAATCCTCTAATGGGGAGCTACAGAACAACCAGAACGCAAAATGTTTTCTCCTAATCTTGCAATCATAAAAATTAGCCAATTTTTAATTTAAGTCCCATGACTTCTTTCTTTGTTGTGAAAATATCAAGCAATTCGTATCAAAACACTTTGGAACATGGACTGTCTTCGGATTTTGTCCAATTCCCTGAACAGGGAAGTCGTTTTCAGCAGGCTCAGAAACACTGCTGCTATTTTTTTTCAGAACTTTAAATTAAACTAAGACTGGTCTATTCTAGTAGCATAAGGTTTGGACTTAAAAAACGGGATTGATTTACTTGGAAGATAAGCATGTTAGTTGTTTTCAGGAACTTCTGAGAAGACTATTCATGGTGCCTGCTGTCGCTCTGCATCTCTAATTTTCTTGAAGGCAGAGTTCTCGGTGTCTTTATAAGATATTACAGAAGAAATTGTGCAACATCACTTTTGCAAGACAGTACATAGCTACCCAGTTCTCCACCTATGTAATCATTAAAAAAGAAAAATTCATACTGAATGGAAAAATAATCAGACCCTTTTGTCCGCAGTTTCAACAGAAGTTGTTTTATGAAACAGTATTTTTCAGCTTGCTCCGTGCACCGTATATAGACCGTCATCCCTTTTCATACCGCCTCCCTTCTGTCACTTAGGGAGACAATTCTGAACAGCAGCTATTTAAGGAACAGAGCTGCCTCTGATGATCCAGAGCAGAGTGATTCTCCGGTAGATCAGAAATCCAGCTGCAGCAAACCGCGAGGCTGAGCTCTCGCCTACAGCGAGCGCTTGCACTCGTACGGCGGGCGGACGGAGCGCTCTGCCGCTGCCTGCTCCACGGTCTTCACCGGCACCGACTCACACGGAACATCGACCCCTCCTCAAAGAATATTAACGTTCAGGAGAACTAATAAGGCACAGCTGGCTCGAACTGGATCAGGAAATGGCCCTCGTCGGGCGGGCGGACGGAGCGCTCTGCCGCTGCCTGCTCCACGGTCTTCACCGGCACCGACTCACACGGAACATCGACCCCTCCTCAAAGAATATTAACGTTCAGGAGAACTAATAAGGCACAGCTGGCTCGAACTGGATCAGGAAATGCCACGCACTGTGCCAGCACCAGCTCTAGGGTCTGCAAGCCCCTCTGCCCGGGCAAGACACAACACGAACCCCTCCAGCGCCCGGTCCCGGGGCCAGGAGCACGGCAGCAGCACTGTCCCGTCCCGGGGGAGCCCACCCGCAGCCCGTGCCAGTGCTCGGGTCTCTGCTCATGTGTATTATCCTGTATACATTGGAACCAGCAAACACTGCATTGTGATTTTTGGCCACTTGGAATATTTTTAGCAATTTGCCAAGGTTTACCCTGTGATTTATTATGGAGGAAACAAACTCAAGCACTAACAAATGAAAATATGTAAACTCTGACTTTTCAAGTCAATAGAAAGGTATTCAACTTCTTAAAACCCTTTAGAGGCACGCAGTTCACTGCAGATTCAATTGCTGGAAACAACAGTTTGATTAAGCAGCAACTGAATTGTAATCTCAGTAGTCATATTTAAGGCACTTAGAGATTTATAGTGAAAAATTCCATATACACGATACTTTCCAATTGTCATTCCTAAAACTGTGTTCTAGATTTGTTGGAAATTCAACAATTCAACAATTCGTTGGAAACATATTTGTATCACTTTTTCACTAAGGCCAAAGCACTCCACGTATCTACCATCTAGAACTTTATTAACTCAAATTACTATATTTAGTAAGTTAAAACACAGTATCATGAAAAAATACTTTAAATAATGAAATACACAGGAAAAAAAAAAAAAAGTCATTTAGAAAGCTTAAAGCACTGGAATTACCTAGATGCAGCAAACAGTAATTGTTTTATTGCAGTATTCTTGGGTGGAGAGGCAGGTGTCATTTAAAAGAAGGTAAATTCCATTTTCAGTTTGAAAATTCAACTAGGTGCTACTGCCACATACCTCCAGAACACGAGAGACAATACTTTGTAAAGTGTTAGCAGCCATGACAGCATTATCTATAGTTAAAATACCAAAGCAATCTAGGAATAAAATTGGAAGTGTTAGTTTGATATTGAGTATCATTGCTTCTAACGAGTTTTCTGAATGCTTCTGAAAACATCAGGAATGGGATCAAGAGTACAACTATCTAAGAGTTACAACAAGGAAGAATGTTAGCCACTAGAGTATGACTGAGAGTGAACATCAATTCTACCTAAAATAGCAGAATACTGGAAAATGGTATTTCCTTCTCAGCTGTCAGTCTCAAGAGATCAATACAGAATTCCCTCCTTGTCCATCTCAACACACAGTTTCCACCATCACCAGTATTAAGCAGCAGAGTGAGTGGCAAGAACCCCTCTGTCTGTGCCGTCCACCTCTGCGACTCGGCTGGTGGAACGATGTGGCGATACGCGTGCTTCCTGATCATCTTCTCAGCTGAACAGACACTATCTATCCATTCCTACAGAAAATCAGTGATACAAACACCCTGCCAAATGACCGAACCCTGTGAGTTTTTCCCCCACATTTGGACATGTCACTTGACATTCAGAATGTCACTATGCAAAGCCAACTAACTCATACAAAGCCTTTTTTTGGTTCAAGAAACCCAGCAGAGAGAACTTCACCAAGCAATTCTTTGTTAGCATAACATTTGACCTTGTATCTCTCTGGAAATCATACAACTTTGCTAATGCAGTCCTTACAGAATTAATCAAGCAGATAGACCCTAGTTACTACGAACCCAGCCAATTATGAGCAGCACTGAAATTTGTCACTGGCATGTCCAACTACATTTTCCAACATAAAGATCAACAGAACTGCATGGAAATGAGGCCCCGCTCTCAGACCTGCATGACTTGGACACTGTAGACTAGAATTGTGAGCAAAGCCAACGTTTTTAGGAACAGAGCATCATTAAGAAAAAAGCTTACCTCCTGGGTCTCCATTACCTGCTGCATTAAAACAGCACGAAAGCATAACGCCTTTCACTCTCTATTTTGACTAGCAAAGCTAGAGTAAACGATTCACTGAGAGTTCAGAGCTCTGTATTTGCCCCTCCACTCTACTGCATGAGCTCCACAGTTCAATAAAGGCCAAATATACTGCGCGGCTTCATTTGAGAAGTGGGGAGGGGAAGCTGCCTGCACAGTTTCTCCCTCTGCCAAAGAAAGACAGCTCAGCTTTCAGAGTCCAGGGAAAGATGACAAGGTTACAGCCAGCAGCAACGTTCACAGGTAAGCAAGGAAAAGAAACCCTACAAAGAGCAGGGCAAAGAGAGGGAGAAAGGAGATGGGCACAGAAGGTGCCCATAGGAACAAAATGGCTCAACAGCAGAGATATTTAGATATATTTAAAGCAGCACAGATTAGAGACGTTTCTAGCTAAAAGCCTGATTGCCATTGTCAAGTTCAACTTCTATCCTTGAACAGGTACTCAAATGACAGAACTGTGGTCACATTCTCCATCTAGTAACTGGAACCAGATGAGATATAAAACCACTGGTCTAGTTCCCACAAGGTAAGTGACAGCTAACTAACTTCTGAACCTGGCTTGGAAGTTAAGTTACTTCACCTCTGTTCTCGTCTGTTCCATTCACATCACACTACTAGTTTCCAGTGCTTAGCAAGAGACCTGTTTTTCCTGCAGCCCAGCCTGCCTTTTACTCACTTCTCAAAATCTTCAGTCAACAAATTCATTTTTTGAGGCTCTCACACTGCAGTCTTCCACTTCTAAGAGAATAAGACACTCAAAGTGCCCTGTTGCAAAATTGCTCTGGTGCTGAAATGCTGCTCTCTCTCACCTTGAGTGCAAATTAAAGCCATGGTATGTTATAGTAACAGTTCACCTTCTTGTCAAAATAGACATTTTGCCCAGATTTCAACCAGCGTTTGTCATTAACTAGATTCTTACAAAAGGAGATAAAATAATTCATACCCCACAAGCATGAGACTGAATAAAGCCTACTTCAGCATGGACCTCAAAATTCCCAAAGCTCCCCACAAGTTACCCAAGCCAGACCCATGACAGAGACAACACTTACAGCTTTAGCAAAAATGACCATCAGCTCAGGGAACTGGTGCGTCAGGAGGGCAAGCATTGCCGAAAAGGAACACAGGCCTGCTGTGAAATGGATGAAAAAGGGAAGCTCCTTCTGTGGGTAAACAGAGACTTCATGAAATGCTGAAAGGAAAAAAAAAGTGAAGAATATTGGCATTTGATAACTGAGGACAGTTTTCTGAATTATTTACATAGTCTTGTAACTCAGTTCTAGACTTTCAGAAGGAGTAAGTGTGGACTCCAGACTATTGTGCAGCACATGTTAGGTCCCAATACCCAAATGTCTCAAAAATTTTTCCCCTACATTAAATGCTTCATTATTAATAGTCATTACATCTTTCTCACTTGCATGGGCTTTATTTTTGAAGCATTTCATCAGGCTTAGTTTTTGATACCTACCCTTTTAACAGGACAGAGGGAAGAACTGTAAAATTCACAATCTGTCAAAATTACCTAGACCAATGTAAGCAGTACAGGTGTTTTCAAACCCTCTGAAGCATTAATCCCGTTATCTGAAGAGAACAGCACATCTCCCCATCCTCTAAGCAGCTCAGCAAGCAGAGAACAACCATCACGTTATATATACATGCAAGGTAGCTCCTTAATAGTTTTCAAAGGTTTCTGGTTGGTAGGCTACAGTAAATTTTTTCAGAGCAGCTGACAGAGTAGACCTCAAAGAAAACAGCACCAGGACTAGGTTATAAATCCTGCACATAGCAGCTCCTCACAATTTCCAATCTATGGTAACAAAATCAAAAGAAGGTGATTAGACAGGCTAGGGGCTGGCATATGGAGCTTTCAGCACTCAAGACACTACTACTGGTTACTAGCTGAGGACCTGTTTGGAGAATTTGCAGTTACTTACTGGCTCTGAATACCTGCAGCTCTGCCTTTCATCCAATGATTTTAAAGGGGTTTTAAGTGAAGAAAAAAATTGTTTCTATAGACGTAAGTAATTATAAAAGGGCTGCACGCTTCTAGATAAGCCATTTTTAAAATCTAACAAAAGCCTCAAAATGTAAAGCCATTTTTAAAATCTAACAAAAGCCTCAAAATGTAAGTAAGCCTTTTCATAAAACAAGAAAATACAATTGTATTAATTTTTAAGCTGAAGTCTCAGGAGGAAAAAGACACTTTACCCTCCCAGTTACTGTTTCTGAACGCTGGCACAGAAAGCTACCACAAGAGCAAGCCCAGCAGAAGTGGCTTTTTTTTGTTCTACCCGTTAGAAAAGCTACCACAAGAGCAAGCCAAGCAGAAGTGGCTTGTGCTGTTCCAACTCGTTACAGCAAAGTGCTGGGGTTTTGTTTCGCTTTCAAGTACATGATTTTGGAGCACAACTAAGTAGAGCCTTTGGAGTTTCATGTCTAACACCCATCAGAGATGTTTAATGTTATCCCAGAGATTATCAGGTCACTGTCTTAACATGCACCCAGCCCTGCCAGGCCACGATACAGTACGACAGTAACACGTTCCTCTCTGCTGAGCAACCAAAGAAACCAGTGTCTGCTATGGAACACTGTCACGCTCTCATACTATGTAGAAACTCACCTGAATTTTAAATCATGGAGCAATATAATTTAGGAAAGGTCCCAACATAAGTTCAGAAAGTTAAAGAAAATAGGAAGGATTCTGTTTGCACTAGTTTTTCCGTACACTGGCAAATTAAAATCAAATCCGAAATAGGTAAGGACAACTAAAGATAATTCTGTATGTTCACAGCCATTCGAGAACTGTAACTAGTCAGACCAAGATGGGATTTTTGAATCATTAATTTGGTCAACATTCTTTTAAATAGGTAAATTTTAAAAAATTAAGTGTCAAGGTTTCTCGAGGAAGTACTGCAATAAAAGTGTTAAGATGATTTTATTTATGGGTAGTTTTATATTTAAAGCATAACAGGAATGCGTGAGTGATCGTGTTGAAATATCTGCATGTGCTGGTGTTTAATTATGCTGAGAAGTCTACAATTTAGGGTTAGGGCTAACCAAGGAATTCCTTGTGCAATATCCTGCATAAGTGAGAAATGAGTAATTTAAAGCAGTCTGGGGGCAAATTTAAATTACACATTTTAAATATAACTTCAGGCTTTTAAATAGAAACACGTATGTGTAGTTTTCCTTTCCACATCTGTGGTCTCGGTGGGTCTGCTGGTGCTTTTGCAGTAGCCCTTTCCAGTCACGTGGGACTTGTGTTTCTTCACGATGCAGAAGTTCACCCCCAAAGGAATTCTATTAACATGTACAATTAACAGTCCAATTCTAATCTAAATTAATGCTACTTTCCTAAATATGATAAGCATGGACCCTAATGATTTAATCTGTTTGCCTCACCTAAAGAAAAATACATGTAGGTTCATAATTGCATAAAGTAATCTTGAGGTAATGGGCAGCTGGAGAAGATGTACTGTTCAGTGTCAAGCGTCAGCAGAAATTCAATGAAATATCTACTTGGATAAAGTGTTCCAGGAAGCATACTGTCCAGCAGACAAATACGTACCAATGAATTAACGACAGAAAGCGATATTCTATGAACCTACAGATTAAGCAAGAATTCTCTGTAAGATCACAGACGGGTTCTGCTAGATACCTGCGTGCAGGACTGGAACGATGCACTTTCTCCTGCTAAAAGCAAACGGCTCGTCTACAGCAGTAGTCAAATCAATGACTTCTTTTAACAGAAGTAATTTAAAGAACTGGTCCATTTTGTTGTTCTCAAAGTTGGCCAAACTTAGTCTGAATGTACCACACACAGACTTCATCTCTGACGGACTGATGGTATTGCAGAATCAAGCTAACATTTACCCCCCACACACACGTGAAGTGCTTCAGGATCGTCTGGGAGGGACATCTACAAATAGCTGAATCTCCTTCACGGGAAGCTCAAACTAAAACAATCACAGTAAGGTAAACACAGAATACCACAAACTGAACATGTCCTTAGCTGATGTTTTATTATCATTACTGCTTAGAAACCACTTACTTGGCAACAGTTCTCTGTCTGCTGTTTCTGTGCAACTCGGATAGGGATAGAAAAGATGACCTTTCTCTAACGGGTATGGGATCATCCTAAATGCTGAAAAAAGAGTGAGCAGCATTAGATCTGTATCTAAACCAAGTGATCAGCTTCTCACAAAGAGAACCAATCATGTTGGAGGTGAATAAAGGCAAAGAGATTAGCCTACTGTACAGAAAAAAATAAAATAAGAAGAGATACTTACTGCCTTCCCATGTACAGTGTAGCAGATTCAGAGCCCCTTCGATCCTCTTCCAGTGCTGGAGGTGAAAAAAAGCATATGCTACTGCCTCACTGTCCCCTCGTTTCAAAATGTGCTCTGGAGGTAGCACTAAGCTTTTCATTTCTAGTAAATACTGAAAGTAAAAATGGAAAGCACACTTGGTTACATGGAATATTCCAAAATCTTTAATTGTGAAACATAAATGATCATTTGAGGCATAACTGAGCCTATCACACAGGGGCCAACTTCCACCTGTTGAAGAAACAGCCCACTCCTGACACAGTGCAGACAGCCTGCACTCGCATGGGAAGTGAACAGCAGCAACACACACACCCGGGTTCAAGACTTAAATCGGGGTTTTCACACGCAAAATATCAGAAAAAAAAATGCATCTTCAGTAAGGCAAAATAAAAATACATTTTTGTGGAATATACATGAAGTATAACACTACAGGTACAATACCAATGAGCTACAAGTTTAGGCTAAAAAAAAAAAACCCCAAACCAATGATATTTTTACTTGTCATTTAATCGCTGCAAGTTTCAATGTAGGAGGCTAAGTACTTGTTAGCTCTCAAGTATGAGTAGCAAACCAGAAAGTGTCAGTGCGCTAACCAAAGGAAGAATAACAAACCAAACCCAGGAAAATCTTGTTCTAATGTGGTTTTGCTGGACTACCACAAAGTATCTCTGATTTCAGATTTTTTCACTTTCAGCCCTCTTCCTACATTAGCAGAATATCTGATGCACTGAAGGGTCAAAGAACACAAGGATTAATCATTTTCCGTTTCCCCTGAAACACAAGACATGCAATTTTGTTTTCCTATGGTAGATTAAAAAATATAGGCATTCATTTTAACTTGGCTTTTAAAAACAGATGAGTAATTTTTACAAGAATGAAATGACAGTTTCAGCTCTAGTATTTACCTGTGAGTTGTACTCTCCTAGCATATAGTGTCTCCTATCCAATAACAGCCAAAGTTAATCCCCATCTTTGATCAATGTAGCTGGCAATTCCTTTGACTGTCTCCTAAAGTGTAAGAATGCAGCCAACTCACCGATTTATTTCAGCAGATGCCACAAACTATGAGATTATTTACTAATCCAGTTTGAGGACTTAACTTTTCCCATTCAGATTCTTGAAGGAATGTAGGAGGGGTTGTGCCCCGGCCAAATAAAGCACATTTACTGCCTGGCTAGGTTCTTCTCTTAGTGCCTTGGGCCTACACTCCGGAGGGTAATATTCTTGCTAATCCCCTCTAATCCTCTTCAATTTTTTTTTTTCCTTTTTAACACAGTAAAGGATCACTCACACAGGGCTGCTGTGGGAAAATGGTCTCAAATATCTGACCCCTGACCTGACTCCTCCACTCTCCGCAGCGCCCACTCTTCCTCTATACCAGCACGGCCACAACACGCCAACGCCGCACCCCGCGCCTTGGCGGTCTCCGCGCCCACGTCACCACACTAACAGAAAAATTCCACAGTCTGGCAGGTTTTCATGCCTGTGGGTAACCGTAAGACAGGCACGGTATTAGCACTGCAAATCTCTTGAGTTTTGCAGATTTAACAAAAACTTTCTGCACCATAAAAATGTGTAGGATATTCAGAAGATGATTGGAAAAGATTGTTTTGTACATTACCAAAACGTAGTCGCAGATCTTTAATTTGAAACAGCTTAAGAGTACCAGTTTTCTAGTACTGTAAAATGACTTAACTTTCCAAACAAAACTCATCCTTGTAAAAGGGTAACTCAGAACAAAGGGAAACAAACATTCTTTTATTTTCCTTATGCAAAATGATGTTATGTGCAAAGACAACCATTTTCATCAGATGCAAAAACAAAGAGATTTCTACTTTACCAGCTCATTTATTTCTAAGTCCATGGGACAGAACAGACTGCAAAGTCAGAAAGCAGATTTCCTTCCCCACTAGTCTTCTGTAACCCACTGAGCAAGTTAATTCACTTGTTTGTGCCCTTGTTCACTTGTTTGCTTGGAACATGAGCATTTCGGAGCTCTAGACAGCCAGCACCAACAAAGTTCTGCCCTGCCATCTAATGAATTGGCATTCTAGGCAATACTGTAATTAAAAAAAAAAAATGAAGACGACAGGAGAGGTATACAATTAGAAGAGAAGATCAAATTACTGAAACCTTGAAACCTGCAATCAGTTTCCATGATCGTCTGTAGAACTATGGAACATATTTCACAAAAAGTCTGTTTGAAATGGTATCTAACTTCTTTTAAAAAGGTACATGAGGCTCTTGAAACAACTGAAGGATATACAAAATAAAACAACTTTTAGATAATGATAATGCGTTATAATCTTCTTCGCCTAAAGGCAGAGGCTAAAGAAAAATCTGTCTGAGACTGTCTGAAATGAACTTGCTACGCTCTTGATCAGTCATGCAAACAAGCAGCAATTTCTCCCAGCAATTAGCTTTCTCAGTGCACATTCTATTAGACTGGACAGGCAGACAGAACAGAGCGGCTGGCTAATTCGAGCCTTCACAGCAACGGTCACTCGGGCTCCACGATCATTTGCAGAGGATTAGGCCCAGGACTAAGCCAACCTTCTGCATTCAAGGTTTCAAACTGAACGCACCACAATACTAGTACAGTAAAAAGCAACCTAAGTTTTTCTTTTCACCCAATGCTCAGTGGAATCTGTATCTTGACCACTTCAAGTAATGCCAGACATTAAATTACAGCCTGTAGCAACACTGACTCTTAATCTTGTTTACACGTGGATGAAGAAAGTAAGTGACTGTAGGTCCTTCAGTAACCCGAGCTCTGAAGCCATGATAGGACATTGGAAAAAAATGTATTTTGAAATACTACTAGTGGTTATTGTTTTGAGAACTTAATTGGGCTTCAGCAATCTTAAATATCTAAATTTATATTTATTAAAGCCTACCTTTACCCACAACAGGCCTTCACTAATACATTACAGGACTTTCCAATGAGTTAGAAAATTCTGAGTTTAATTTTTTTGTAAAAAACCCAGTTTAAACATCACCTGTTGCAAACCACTAATTCTGGCCACCAAACGTTTATGATACAAACACTACTGTGTTTAACAACTCAACGGCTGGTGCTATAACCACCTTCAAGAAAACATGGGGCTAGCAAGGCTCAAATCACAAGATGATAACGTAACACGACTTCTTTCAGAAGACAATAAAAAGTGGTCCAATAGGAGATAAAATACTCTTACCTTTGGAACATGAGGGTTAAATTCCACAGCTCTGTGAATTGCTTCCACAGCATTAATCTCTGCTGTGCTGAGCCCTCTTTTGGAGGCAGTTTCTGGGGAGAACCTGAAGGGAAAAACCCATGCTGAGCAAAAGCAAGTAATAAATGCTAGCCAGGTGTTTATTTGCACTGTAAGCTTGCAGTTCATTAAAAATTGACTGGTTTAGCATGAAAGATAACCAAACCCTTTTAGGAGACAAACATTCATGTTAATTTAGGTATCTTGACTGCCATCCACACCCATATGACAAAGTTATGTTTAAATTTTTGAAACTTCATGTCAATCACGTAAGGTAATTGAATGTCCAATCTTTCCTAAGATTGTTACAACATCACCTACTCAGAGGTAAAGCTAGAATCAGCTGTGCCAACAGACCAGAACAAACGTGAAACGCCAACACGAACTACCACGAACATCCTGCACCCAATTCCACAAAGCAAAGAACTGCTGACCATCACAGGCACGGCCCGGAAAACAAAATCTATACAAAAGCACATGTGCATACATGGCCTCCTGAAAAGCACCTTCACCTCTATGAAGTTTATGGATGCTTAAAAGAAACTTGAAATTACTTTTAACTACATACATGCATATATATGTATATATAAATACACTTAACCTGCTCTTAGAAATGTAACTGCTACATATTGGAACTTTTTAGTTCATGTTTTACAGCATAACCCAAGATAAGCAACAAACCACTGTTTTCACAAACAGGCTTGCTTACCTTTCTGACACGGCTCTGGCTTTTAACAGGGCTGCTGTGTAACATATTGCTGCCGATTTTGGAAGACTGATATCTATGATAAAATAAAATAATTAAGCTGTAAGATTCCAAGGCAAGACAAACATTTCAAACCCACATCCTTTGAGTGTAAAGCTTTTCACTTGGGCAGACAACGAATGTAACATCTGGAACATTTCAGCTATGATTGGAAACTTTGAATTTCTTTGCACAGTCTTCTTTCTGGTCACCAGTCATTCTCAGATTAAAAACTCAGAGTTGTAGTTAGGTGGTAAAGAGTCATTTTTTCTTCTAAACATACCAAGACACTGAAACTGAATTCAAGGAGAAATGCATGTATAAATACACACTTAAGAACAGTGTACTTTTCCTGTGTTAGCCCACGAAGGTTTAAAATAAGCTTCTAATTGTTATCTAATTTTGCAAGTGTACATTAACACCAAGTTCTATGTAATACTGAAAGACAGACTGACTAGAAGCCGACTAAAAAAATCACATTACAGACAGGTAGACAAATTTTAATGAAAATGCTTTTCCGTTCTTATCCAGTTCCATGGGGAAAAATTCTATTAGTTGTAGGATTTCTAGAATATCTGAGGCCAAGTTTGAGCTGACAACTACAGATGAAAAGGTTAGCACTCCACAGTACAAGTTTACTTTAAAAGCAGACAAAGTCTGGGGTCTAATTCCCAAGTACCATGTTGTGTATAGTCACATGGCTCTTGCTTTTTTTGTAAATCCCATCCTGGGCTTGTCCATCACTTACTAGAAGTCTGGCTGTCGTGTCAAGCAAAACACAGGGCTGCTACAGAGAGTTTGAAGCTCATACTCATTTTTCCAGATGCTTAGAAAAAAATCAGCAACCCTTTCTTAAGAAAGTGTCACAATTCCTGATGTTAACATAAAGAAGCACCAGGAAAAGAGCAAACGGCTTCGTTAAATTAGTAAGAATCCAAACAGAAGACTATGGACAGTCAAGTAACAGGAGCAGGCAGCTAGGGCTGCCACGCACAGGGGGCACAGGATCTGGGCAAGAATATCCTGCTTCTGAATCCCTGAAGCAGCAAAGAACAGAGACACAAGGGAGAACATACCGACTTCTCAAGTGCAGGGAACGATTGCCACAAAATACTGCTGCTGTGTCCCGCCACTCTGAAGATGATTTAAGGGACAGCTTTGACTTCAGCACTTTGTACACTAATGATGTGGGCATTACCTAGGTGGCAAAACTCTGAGGACAATAAGAAAGTAACTACTTATTTTATTAACCTTTAGCAAGACTTGCACAACACCTGAAAGGTATCAGTTGAGGTGGAAAGCGAAAGCAAACTACTGCCACTTAATGGACCAAAGCTTGTGTACCACTACTCTCTGGCAAGCAGTACGCCTGCCTGTTGCTAATCTCCGGCAAACATCCCCAGTATTATAGAATCATAAGGCCAAGCCTGGAAGATGACAAGAAGGGAAATCTACCTTACCATCTTTCTTACATCAATTACTTAGGGGGCTACGTGCTGACTGAAAAAGGCTGATGAATTTCAGCATAACCAGTGATGTAGAAGAGATTAAAAAATTAAAATAATGCTTGAAGGAAAGTGAGCTGCAAGATTTCTTTACAGATTAGAACTAACTTAAACCCATAAAAAGCAACTTGTATGCAATTTAGCTTGCCTAAATTTCACCTCGTAATCCAAAAGAAAAAACTTGACTTGCACTCTGGAAGCTCCTATCTGTTGCCAGTGAAGGGAATCTAGTCAACTAGCTGAGCCCATGGGCAGACACACGCCTTTGGTAGGCACACCTTGCCCACCTCACCTACACTCTAACACAATAACACACTTACCATCATACTTCGCTAAAACTGCCTGGACATCTGCATAAGCCTGTAATTCCAGCAGTGCCTCCAGGAGGTTTTCATGAATATTCAGCATGCTGAGAAGTGGAAACTCTTTCATCAACTGCAAATCAGTAAAGATAAATAAATTAAGCACATATAGAATTGCACTTGAATCCTTGAAATACTTAACAGAAATTGGTACGATAATTTAAGCTTTTTCAATGTTCCGTTCTTTCACAGTGTTAGAAACTGGCACGTAAGCAGCATGAAAAGAATTGCATCATTTCTACCTTATTTTTTTCCTACATACACCTACTGGAAAATAAGTATGCAGAGCTTCATACAACACACTGTCAGCCCATACTTGCACAATTCCCACATTGAGTTGTTTTGGTCAGTAATATTTTCCTATGAAAAAATAACTTATGTACACCTTGTGCAAGTGAAAGAAAAAAATATGATGAAGTTTAAAGTTGGCTATTTTGACAAGTTAGTCACCGAGTCAAGCATGAAGCAAACCAGACAACAGAACTGTGAACATATGACATTCTACAATCTAAAAATTTAAAACCTACATGTAGGAACCAAAAAAAACTGTTCTCAAAAAAATCATGAATCATGATGTGCAAATCTCATTGGAAAATAATTCAGTTAGATTCATTATGATGCCTAGAAAGGAACTTTAAACCATCAGTTTGGACAATGTCACTGAAAACAACAGTTGCTTGCCGTTCTTTAGTTTCACTTACATCTCTCATCATTTTTACTGCTTCTCGTATTCTTCCAAGTTTTCTTGCACACATAGCTAGTCTCCGTTTCACATATACCAATACATTCGTGTCTCTCCCTGATTACAAAGACAAAAAAAAATTAGCCTATCAGTTTCAATCCTTATCTCTCCTTCCCTATCAAGAAAAAAACAACCCACCAAAAACCCCACAACCTTCTTCCCAACCACATTTAAAAGCACAAAATAATTACTATTGCTGTCCCACCCAAGGCCCATCCAGACCAATGACAGCAACTTTTCACTAGGTTAAATGAGAAAAAAAATCTGTTTTTTCCAAAATGTAGGGCAGAATAAAAGAAGGTGCTACTGACACACACTAATTGCTTCATTAGTCTGCCTTACCTACACAGCTTTCCAAGACAATAACATATCAAGTCTCAGTGAGACAAACCAGGATGAAGCCACAGTGTAACTGCCGCTTCCCAAGACTCCTTCAGGCACACACAGATCACACGGCAAAGATCGCGTAGCACGCCACGCATAAGCACAGCTGACACAGTAGAAACTCCCTCACTGAACTGGGAATCAAACCAGAATCGCTAATTATAACTTTAGTTTTACATTTCTGCTCACATCAGAACAAGATTTTACGTGATTCAGAAGTGCTTACTCAGCTGTGCTTCGTGCTGGGGACTTTGGGAATGGCAGTTCTGAGACTTTCTGTAAATCATCTCTCCTGCTTTCAGAGCTTGCCTGAAATACTTCTCCGCATCTACAATAGTCGTTGCTTCTTCCTCAGCCAGGAGGACGTACGCAGTGGCACAACTGTAATAAGGAAAAAACCCACTAGTTATTCTGAGGGATATAGTATTTTTTGAGTAAGCATTAAAAGCTTTAGAAATGGGCAGTTTTCACTTATGTTTAATATATAAGCATTGGTAATATTAAAACATCAAAATACTAACTCACGTTCAAATCGTGTCAGGAAAACAGAAACCTTTCCCATTTGACAGAAAAACACACATTTGGAGAAAGAACAAAACAAAGAATTGTAACAGCAAGCCAAATAATTTTCCTACAAATATTAAAAATGCTCTGGTAATTGTCTGGAGAGGGTTTTTTTGTGTTTGGTTTGCTTTGCATTTTTAAAACCAGGAGGTAGACACTTTACACAGAAACAACCAGACTACATAACAAAACAGATCACAGAAGTGCATGAAATTCTTTGGTTTGTGTTGCGAGAGTATTTTTAAATCCCTTACAGGAGTGGCATCCGTGAACTCCAAACACAATATAAGCACACAATGCCATCTCTGAAACACGTATGATCTCATATTCAGCTTCGACTGTTCCACCTCTGAATAAGATTTTGCATTTGTTATTGCTACTGATAAAGATTTTTTTAAACCTCTTTCCCAAGAAAAAGGGAGAACAAAAGCTGTTTTTTAGAACACAGTTCAAGACTTCAGTCTGACAGCCACGTGTGCAATTCTCTGTGTCACAGAAATCCCCCTTAAGCTATTCAGAATTTTGTTAAATCTAAATTATTAGTACACAAAGCTGATAGTGTGCTCAGTATCACTCAACCTTTCACACTAGAAATACAGCAAATGGAACTTTAAACTTACTCATTGTTCAACTCTAAAGCTTGATATGCTGCTTTAATCCGAGCTTGAGGGTTTCTCTCTCGCCATGCTTTCTGCATAACTGTTGCGAAAACATCGAAAGGCTGGTGAGGGACAGAGACACCGGCAAAACCCCTGGGAGCCAGCGCAGGCAGCGCTGGCTGCTCATGCCTCAGCTCCACCATAGCATTCACTCCGATGCTGCAAATTCCTGTTTGCTACGTGATTGTTACAGGGAAGAGTAAACGTGTTCCAATTCCAGCATGAGTTTCTACCACACGCAGCAGAATCTTGCAACTTCTCATTACGCCCCAAATTTCATTTCAGAAAGCAGCACCACCAGGAAGATTATTCACTGACCATTTCAGAACTCCTACACTGAGAAGCAAAGACAGCTTACATAACCCGGCAGATGTACAATTTCTAAATTGCTACAGATTTTTGGAAACATTTCCCAAGACTTGTTGAAAGCTTGGCAGGAGCAATTGTTAAACACAGGTTCTTGCACGGACCTGCACAGAATTTCAATATAAGCTTTCAAACAGAAATTCAAAGAAAACAGTGATAGATTGAGCTGTGTCTTGCACAGGTACAGATTCATACTTAAGTATTTAGACAACTACCAGATCACGAAGGGTTAAACAATTTTGTTTTAAATTCACAAAGCACATTTGAGTGTCATAACATGGCAAAGCCAATTCAAGATGTACTATAATAATTTAACACCTTATTAGAAAGTGTTCTAGGAAACAACTAAAGAGGGTGAAATCTACCTGTTCACAGGGGTTGTTTGAATTACAACCCGAACGCAAAATTACGGTCAGGTAAGGAGCAAACAAGAGCTGAATGCAGCAACTCAACCCCTCCGCACTACCCCTCCATTAGTGAAAAATGGAAACTCCAAACTGGAAACCCACTTGCAGCCAAAGAAAAGCAACCTACTTAGAGCTACCATCTTCTATGCAGAATTAATAGCTTTCACACCAAATAACAGTTCTGAAAGAATTCCAAAACCTTACGTTCACAGAGTTACATATCTGGCCTATCTCAAGCACGATAAGAAAACTGAAGAATCTATACATGTTTCTTTTGGAACAAAACCTTCTGCTGTCCAGCAAGAATAACATGGAAAAATGCTTGAGTTTTCTTTTGGAAACAAAATATTAGTCTTGGCTTCCTAAGCGAGACAATACAGTCCATTTGTGAAACAAAAACACATCGTCCATATCAAGCACGTCACAGCCAGCTGACAAGTAATGCTTCCGGAACCTGACAAACTGACAATAGTTCACACCCCGGCTGACAGTAACCAGGTAGAGAACGTTTTCTGCACTAAACATGTGGAACACAACGAAAAAGTCTTGAGACCGCACTATTCATTACCAAGGTTTAAATGAGACCCCATTTTTGGCTGTTGAGAATACTATCCAGATTTTCAGTACTGTGTTGTTAATTATACGACAAGTGTGAGATCTTAAAATTACAGCCTTAAAGTCAGTACAGAAACTACAAGGTAAAAAAAAGCATCTTTTCACTGAATACAGCTATTAAACCTCCTTAGCAATTGAGAAAGACTATCATTTCACAAAACACCTGAAACGATAGCCTGTGCTACCTTGAAGTGTATTAAAAATACCCACTTACACTCTCCAACTCTTCTATACCTCATGCCTGCAACATTGGTACCTGTATCTGAAGGCCGAAGGGCATCTGTGTCACACGTGAAAAAGTTCTGATGATCTTGAGCAGACAAATTCATGTCATAGTATGTAAGAGGCTCCTTCCCGGTCACCCACATGTATCTGTAACAGGAGAAATTTCAGGAAGAGGCACTCCTAGTAAACAGTAATGCTGATACCAAGGGGCTTATCTGACATGTCTAACAACTGAAGCTAGGGCACAACATGTTTTTAATAAAGGACTGGAGCTACAAACCAGAAGTTTCGAGTACTAGTGTCCCATAATCTGCACAGGTTGTAAAGTTCTAAACAACCTCGGAACTGGCTTCCTAGGAAGCAGCTTTTCCTATGAAATAACACAAGGAAACTTACAATACAGCCATATCAGTTTAATAAAAGAGAATTCAGACCCAGAATCACTGTCACAACCTCTGAATAAAGTTTTTCTCCTACTTTACTGTCAAAAAATTTGATAGTGTTACCGTAATATTTGCATTCTTAACACTGAAAGTGCCAAAGCTTGGATAGATGCCTTTTAAACACAGGAGTGGCATCAATCACCCCTAGAATCTTGCAGGTCTCAGCTGTCTCCTGATATTACTAGTGCAAGCTCTGGGAAGTATTCACGTGTATGCCCCTGATTCATTTTAAAAATATGCAGCAGAAAGTAAGACAATACCTGCTATACTCGGCGCCTCTGAAGAGATTGAGAGGATTCCGCCACACTTTTGACTCTGGGAGGGGGGGGGGGAAAAGTACTTTTTGAATTAAGAGCACAGGAAATACTATCTTGCCTTCAAAATGCAGTAATGCAAACGCAGTTTTGTTTTCAAAAGCTGCTCTAATGTTCTTGTTGCTCGACCTGAGCACGCTCATATGGTTTTCTTCATAAACTTGTGCTATACTATAAATATTTTTGCTCCCCAACATTGCTGGTGTACAAAAGCACATGGTGGAAAGATTAAACACTGCCATTTACACTTATGCAATGTTTACCTTGCACATATTCAGGACAGTAAACATCTAATGTTACTGAAACACTTTTAGCTAAATGCGTAATATATTTTCTAAATAATATTTTTAATAATTAATGTTTTAGATCAATGAAACATTATTCTTTAGGGGTTTTTTACCATTATTAATAACACAAGCACTGCAAGATGTAGGCCTCTCTCCAGTTCTTACAAGCACTAACACAGAGTCAAAGCCGGTCCATGCGAACCAGCCGCCTCGACGCTTGGGGAAAACCCTGCGACGCGTGAACAATCACCTGGCATGTTCTGCCTGCTGGTCTCACTCTCCCCAGCAGAGAATGCTGCCGTGGCTGGAGGGCCGTTTTCTGCGCCGCCGCCGATGAGGGGCCTCAGATGGCTCACAGAAACCTGCTCGATGAACGACGTGCCGTATTTTCGGAAATGCCACCACTCAAACACCTGTCACAGGAGAAAAAAGTACCAGAAATGTCCTTAGGGGACACCCTTCCAACATAAACATCAGTGATGGAGAGCAAATTGTTCACAGCTAGTACATCCCATTGCACATGACTGCAGATGGAACTTATTACAAATTAACACTAATTATCTGGTTTGGCCTGTCTTGTCAGGCAGGATCACCCACATAATATGAAAGAGACTGAAAAAAACCAGTAACATTTTAGTCAAACATATGTTCCTCCCTCCTCAAGTCATTAGGGTAACTTCTAAACCCTTTCAGAAAGTGTCTGTATAAGGAACTGTGCACAGAGGCAAGAACCTCAAGACAAGCGTAGTTCTTTCATTCCACAAAAATAATCTAAAAGAACAAAGCACAAGATGGGCAGTTAAACTGACATGTTTTGCCATTCAGAAGAGTCCAAAGAGAAAAGGCTGAATTAACAGCAATCCAGTTCACTTACAAGAAATTTTGGGTCAAAAATATTACCATCTCTCTCTGAAGCAATTAAAAATACCTGCGTATCACGGGTCCTCCAGCACTGTACCACACTGTCAGCCCTGGACCAACGCAGCTGAGCGTTTTCATCAGAACGCAGAAATACATGATGTTTAGACGAACTGTATTCTTTGTTAAGAAGCACTAGTGCAAGCCGTGGCTGACCAATAACACTTTTTTTCTCTTAAGAGCAAACCTACGTAAAAGACCTACCACAAGCAGAATCCATTCCCTTATATGACTTTCCTCAAATCCTTCAATCAAAACCCAAGCAACATTACTGACAGCAAACAAATCGTTTCTGCCACATAAATAAGACTTTTTTGGTTTTTTAAATGGTGGCTACAAAAAAAATCACCCATAAAACAATTTTTGCACATTCTGGTACATAGGTTTAATTGATGAGAAGAGACATTTTCTTCAGCTGAAAATAAACTGAAAATAAAGATGAAGCCACAAGATTTGCATGTAGTGCCACAGTCCACATCACGGCCAGACGCTCGTCACTGCAGAAACAGCTGCGCTAGCAGAACGGAGCGTGCAAGCGTGCCCCGTCCGTTTCGTGCAGCGTCAGCCACGTCTGTGCACACTGCCTTCCGAAGGCGAGCCGAATTGTTGGCTCATTTTCACACCAAAGTTTTTAAGATAGTTACAGGATGACACATGCCTAAAAGCCCCCCCAAAATTACCATGGGATGCTAAACTCTTAACTGCCTAGTTTAAAACGGATAACAATCTCAGTGTTTTCTTTACACAGAGAGGTCTGCAGAGTTTGCACCTACATTTTGCACTTTTATGTATCCATGTCTACACAAACACATATGTACGCACACAGGTGGACACACGCACCTCCTTAAAACAAGGCTGAGTTTCTAAAACAGGTACAAGTTACTTCCCATAGGCTCACCCCAAGGTACAACGCACAGCAAACGCGAAGGTCAAACACATCAGAAAAGCTACGAAGTCACCAGTTCCTTCCTAGCACACAGGCACCCTCTACAGCCTGATGGAAAAAACGCCAAATGCATCCACCCCTAACGAATGTGTCCTAGAGGTGCTCAAGTTGTTTGCTTTTATGAACTTTTTTGGTTTGTTTTTTTAAAGTGGACTACTTACAAATATCAGTCCAGATATAAAAGACGAAGTCACTGTAAGGGCAAAGTAGAATTTTGGAGTCAAAGTGCTTAAGAACACAGTCACTGTTAAGAGAAACAGAAACAAAAACTGAAAAAGCAGAACTGGAAAACACCAATAGCTTTTTATTAAACAACATGATATGAAATATTATGCAAACGTATAACAACACCGCCTTAGTAAGCTCACAGATAACACTGCTGTGTTAGAGAATCCTCTCCATCTGTTACTCTGTTTGTACTCTCTGTGACAGCGCAGGAGGTGATCTGCCCAGTCTAGAAAACGCAGCGTAAGCTCTTCGGCGCAGCGGCCTAGGGCTCCAACCACCGCGTGGCTGCCGCGCCACACCAAGCCCACGTAACGTGTTATTTCGTTTTACTCCAAACCAGAAACGTACTGGCTTGACGCAAGTTCCTGCTCCGTGTCAGAACACGCGTGTCGCGCAGACCTCTCCCTCCCGGTGCTCACCGCACC